AATGAGATCCTTACTTTAAAGAGTGTACATAATCCTAAATTATCATGCACTTTAATGTTGATAGCAAGATCCCCAAAAGTCAGGATCAAGATCCCCAAAAGTTTGGAATTCGATTCCTAACATTTGGAGATCTCAATCCCAACCATACGGATCTCCTATGCATTGTACGGATAGTGTTCCCAACCATAGGGATCTTCTAGCATTCCACGTTCCCATGCTTCCGATCCCGGTACCATTCCTGCACCCGATCTCAACAACTATGGTTTGAACATATGATCTCTTCTACGTGAGGTCATTCTTTACCACTAGACAACTCTTCTACTGTGCATTTGATCTTGTATTCAAAATAATAGGAATTTGTATTAATATAGCCTTATTCAAAATAGTGTTTTACAGATGTGTTAGGAAGTATTGACTTTTTAGCCTGGGTATTAGACACCAGAACACCTGCTAATTATCGACATGCTTGTTGGTGTCCATATAATATTGTTTCTTAGGAGCAGAGTTGTCCCATTATTAACAAGGCCACAGTTCATTCTTTTCCATGATAATCCTATGAAACGCGAAATCTTGGTATGGAAATTTTTTGCTAGAAATGGATGTTTCCTTAGAGAGATTTGATTTAACCTTCAAAGTAGATATGGAAAAGATCATTTCCAAAAAGAATACGTTTTGCTGTCCAATTTGGAATGGAAAGATTGTAATGGGATAGCTGTCCATGATATCAAGGGATCAATAGTTTCTGTTAGGAAAATAATTAGGCATGCAAACATCTCAACCACACTCATTGTACTCACACGTCATTTCAACAACCTTCTTTCCCTAGGCTACCTCCTAGAACTTCCAATCCTAGTTTCCCGGTAAAGCCATGCCTGACTCCTTCCGTCTTTCCCAGGGAAAGAGCTTAGATTTGAGCCCTTCTTCAATTGAAGTAGGTGAATTCTGTGCCTGCACGTACTGCCTCTGTATTGTTGAATTCCTTTATGCTTCTATGCTATGCGTGGATGCATTGGTAAGTGTGATAGGAGAGTTGCACTTGTGAGTTGATGACATTAGAGGATTTGTGGAAATGTTTCATAACCTAGTAATTATTTGAAGTTTTAAATGGGAAAGAAGCAATATATAAAACTTCGACTTTATCGTGTTACACATTCTTAAAGGGAAGCTCCAAATGTGGGTCTCTCTCTCACTCCCCTCCCCCCCCCCTCGCCCCTCCAACAAAAAGAGAAAAAGGGAGAAAAAAATCTCCCTGCTTCTTTCACTCTATATAACACCTGCCATGTGTTCTTAAATGGAAGCTCCAAATGTGGGTCTCCCTTTAGGAATGGGGTTGGGGGCATTGGTGGTTATGGGGGCTGATGCCTCAACATGATGTCCCTCCCTCTATTCCTATCGTTAACATGGTCAAAAAGAAAAAGAAAATTTTT